AGGTGCGGGGGCGGGGCTGACACTTGGAGGGGGTTGGAGGAGGAGGTGCTAATATTGGGAACTGACACTGGGGAAGTCTCTGGGGGGATTGGGTGCAGTAGGGCTTTGGAAACAAGAGGCTGTTGGTGGGGTCTATTGGTGGGGTCAGTTGGTGGGGGCCTCTCGGGGGCAAGGGCTGGCACTGAAGTGCTTGGGATAGGGAGGCTGGCAATGAGGGTCTCTGAGGGTGGGAGAGTGGCACTGGAGGGATTGGGTGCAGGGGACTCAGGTCAGTGGCTGGCACTGGGAGGTAGTGGAGAGGTAGGGGGTACTAGGGGTTAGGGCTGGGTCTGGGTGCTCTAGGGTCTGGGCTTTTTGTGGACTGGTAATGGTATATTTACATATTCATCATTTGCATAATGAATATGCAAATAAAACGTTACCAGTCCTCCAAAAGTTTGTGAATGGGTTTGTCAATCCCCGGTATCAGAAAGTTTAGGAACTACTGACTTGAGAAACTGGATGTACTGTAACTTGGAATATGCCTGTTTACAGATACGATAGTAGAAGTTATGTACTGAAGTATACATGAGAAAAAGGGTAGTTCCTGTAACTCTGACTGATCTAATCATTCTAACTCCTTTTAAATAGCTATTGGAAGCAGAAAAGTCCATCTGTAATTTTTTTTTGTTTTTTGCGAGTTGAATTGTGATTACTAAAACAATCACAGCACAATCTGATATTAAATAAGGTTTCATTTCATCATGTCTTTCTGTGAAACAGGATGAATTATTTCCCACTCTCTTCTCTCAGAAGAAACCTATCCACTCAGAAGATCCATTTAATGATGAACTCCGTGAGCGGTATGAAGTAGAAATGCTGGCCAAGAAATGTGAGGCAAAATATGTGAGTATGTTAGCAGAGCTACTGTAACACTACATTTATTAGTAATATCTTTTGCTAACGTTTCAGAGTCTTTTGGTGTGGTTACTACTCTTGACTTCACAGCTGATTCTCTTGCCTCAGTTAAGTTTCTTATCGTATTTAATTTGTGATGGACACACTTTCTGTCTGATAAGGCTATACTAATGAAAAAAGCTTAACTAGATATTATCTGTGCCTGGGAACACGTCCATAAGTGAGTTCACTAAACAAATACCTTCACTTGTACAATGGTCTGTACCAGTGTTCCTTCTAAGATTTTTTTTTTCCATCCGTAAGTGGAGTGAGTTTTGTCTTGTGCACCAATATTGAGGGCTATGTGCACTTGTTTGGGTGTGTGCCATTGTGTTACCCACCAGTTACTAAGAAAAATTATAAATATATAAATTTTAAATTATGTAAGGAAAAATACTAAAACAAGGGATAATTAACATGGTGCAAAACTCTGCACCTATGCACACCCAGCTTGGTCTTTTCCCCTTTAAAATCTCCCAACTAGGGCTGGGCATTTGCCAGATAAAGCTGTCTGATCATTGCTGTGAAGCAATGTCTAAACAGAGCTTCTTTTCATTCTCCTAAGATCTCTTCAGATCTTTTAAGGGAACTATATTAGAACATTTGATTTCACTCGATCAATTCTTGCCCATTGACCACACAAAACAAAGCACCCACACCACATCATGCACAAACTAACACTACACACTGCTGACCCATGTTAACATAATTCTTCCTCTGTAACTACACATTAATTAATGCATAACCTAATACAGCCTGGGAACTAAAAGCCCAATGGGAACCGAAAGACACACAAGCTCTCACACTACACAGATGACAACACACACTGACCACAAACTTGTACAGAGAGAGGAAAACTAATAATGTACAATAAAAATGCCCACGCTCTCTCAACACATGAATGGAAACAATATACACATTAACATAGCCCCTAATACCAGGCTACCTAGCTTTGCAACTGAAGTCTGTAAATAACAAAGAAAACAAGTACATCCAATGATTATTAATAATCCCATTAAGTAAAACCCATCACCTAATGCTCCTGGCCCTGTTTATGAACAAATGAAAGTAAGAGGAGCTGACATTTTTGAAGTCTCAGTTACAACTAATGCTCATTTCTTAACACTCACATAAATTTCCAGGGTATGCAAGTCCTACTTTAAATACTTTACCTGATCTGGCAGGTGGCAAGCTTTTTGTGGGGGGTAGGAGAGGATCTAAACACGTACCAAGACCTTTAAGAAATCTGTTTCCAGCACCTTGACTCTTCCAGCCAGACCATTCTTTAGAGGCATGGATCTAAATGGATCTAAATGGAGAGGGAGAGGGAGAGGGAGAGGGAGATTATATATATATATATATATGGATGTCTGCACTTATTCATGCATTAATTAATTACATTCTGTTAGTCTGTGGCACTCCTAATTGCTCTCTCATATCTATCTGATAATTACCAGTGCTAGTTTGGTCTGGCAACAGGCATCTTGTCTCCTCCACTGAGATCTGGCCATGAGAAGGGTGACTGTGCCATAAATCTGGTGATGGAGAGGCCTGGATGGAGGTCACCTGTTTATTTCCCACAGCCAACACCTGGCTCCGGCTCTGGCCCCAACTGGGACCGCTGGAGAAGCTGCTGCTGCTGCTGGCCACCTGCAAGACCTTTTATGGCTCTGGATAGGGATGCTGGAAAAGCTGCTGCTGCCAACAAGGCACCTCTGGCTCAGGCCCTGGCCGAAGTCACCAGTGGAGCAGCTCCATGTGGCCCGCAGCTCCAGCTGAGTAAGGGCTGAAGCTAGGGGGAGAACTGCATGGTGGCCGAACAGCTGAACAGTCACTGCATGGCTCTGAGGAGGAGATGGGCAGGATTTGAATTCTTGGTGTGTGGCTGCGCAGCCGCACACCTTAGAGGGAGTACTGGTCTGTATTTATGATAGATCTTTTCAAGGGGTGAGAGGATGCACCTCTAAAGTGATGGATGGGAAATGTCAGAGGAAAAACACGTGCTGCAGGATATAAGGATGGTGACTATAGATAGTACTCTTTTTCTCTTTTACCAGTGCTGCAGAACACTGTGCAAGGGGATTCTTTTCCCCAAGTTACTATCCCAGATCATTACTACTACTCTTCAGAAGTGTCAGTCATTTAATTCCTTTTCTTAGGCAAGCTGCCACATCACAGTAGTAGGTGCAGACAATATTTCTCGTTTCAATTAATTCAGTGAGCAATTCTTTCAGAATTGAAAAGTTGATAGGGAATAAAAAAGCAAGGAAATCTCATTTGTCCTCAAATATGTGAATAAAATCGAGGCATGAGAAGATGTCTACTAGTTCTAAAATCTTAAGGATACAGTGAGCAGAAACAAACACTTTAATTTACTAACTGCAGATATTTTCTTTGTTTAATAAATCAGTGTTAAATGCAGAAGTTCTTTTGAATAAACTTTTCTTGTATCTAGCACCTTTTAAGGCAATTATATGTAACTAATAAAACTAAATTGTGTTTATGCACTTTTGATTCCAATTTCAATCTAAATAGAACTAGACACAATCATAAGTAAAAATTAATTCAGTGAATAAAAAACACCATCAGAATTCAGAATCTGAGTGATATGATAAGCTGTCTTATTGCCTAAATGTATATACAGTATAACCTCTTGGTTAGTAAAAAGTACTGAATTTAGTGTAAAAACTATTATTTAGTTGTATATAAAACATACTTGGTTACCAGTGAATGAGAAGCAACTTTTTCTTTAGGAAATAGCTTAAAAAATACAAATGCAGAGCAGGATTAAAACCTCTTGTTTGAATCAAGGTTCCTGCTTGCTGATTTGAGTCATGATTACAGTTTATTTGAATTGCTTTTATTTTTAAATAATCACCCTGAAATAAGCTTCTACTAAAAATGCCTAAGTAGAAACCATGAGATGTTAGATTAGACCACACCCAACCTGCTACTTAAATTCACGTGGATAGACTTAGATTCTAAATTATGAGTTGGCAATTAAAACAACTTAATCATTGTACTTGGACTTCCATGTCTGGGGCTATTAGGGTAGTGCTTTTCGTTAGCAAAAATACTTTTGGTGTTAATGTCTCTGTAAACATTAATGTTTATATCATTACAAACTGATTTATCTGACTTCTCTGGAACTTTTCCCATTAAAAGGCAAGTTTCCTTAGTAGGATAAGAAACATTCATTCTAAGATATCAATATATTTTATGGAGATAGTTGAGTTTTAGACACAATAGTTTAGACTTGTTATGGCAGATGAGCTTGCTAATGAGGAGAGATGACATAGGTATATAAAATAGCTGGTATAGAAAACAGCAGTTGAATACTATTGTTTACCTTATCCAGTAGTAAAAGAACAACATGGCAATTACTGAACTTGAGAGATTTTTATACGGTGTATATAATTATGAAATGCATTCCCTTAATAATGTCCTGAAACATTCTGGAGAGACAGTTTCTCCATATTTAAAGGTGCAACTGAATTCCTATCATAAGGTCAGGTTTTACCTTCTATTATCCTTGTAACTAAAATTAACTTGAAGTAGAACTCTTTTCTGAAAACTAGAATTTGTTTTGGTTTGTAGAGATTTAAAAGCTAATAGAAAATTAACTAGTTAATATTTGTGTTGGTATATGTTGAGACTGGAGTTAAACTTTGAGTGTTTATATTGTCAGCCACTGAAGTATCCAGATTGGAGGGTCCCAAACTGTGTCGTATGCCCCTCTAGTGGGCACGGAGGAATGTTAAGGGTGGGTGTGATGGGGCTTGGGTCTGTCCTCACCAGGGTGGGGACAGCGGTAGGGAGTGTTATCCAGCCCAACTCTGCCTCCGTCCCATCCTGGCCCTGAACTGAAGCTTGGCCCCTTGACAGTGTTAGGATAGATTCCACTACTGGTAAGTAGGTGTGACTAAAAGTTTAGGAATCACTTATCTGTACTCACTGCCAACTAATTATTTTTGCATAATTTAAAATACATTTATTGGATGTCAATGACTTTTAGTCTCTCTCGTGACTAGTTCAGTGTGGTCCCAGGTGTCCAAGATGTGAAGAACATTGGTCTCTGAAATTGAGCCATCCTGCTAGGATTCCTGTTCCTATTTCAGTCTTCATTTGATACGAGAACTATGTGATTCCTAGACTGGCTTACCACAGTGTGTGTGTGTGTGTTTTTTTTTTTTTCCCCAGGGTGGAAAGTCTCACAAACATCGAAAAGATCGTTTGCAAGATCTGATTGATATAGGTTATGGCTATGATGAAACAGACCCTTTCATCGATAACTCTGAAGCTGTGAGTAAATCTCATTTAAGCATCAATAAGTAGGGCTCTACCAAATGTACACTCCATTTTGGTAAATTCCACGGTCATACGATTTAAAAAATGGTAAATTGCATGTATTTAAATCTGAAATTGCATGATGTAGTTGTAGGGGTCCTGAGCCAAAAAAGCTGTATGAAGGTTGAAGGGTTGTTGTATGGGGGTTGTGGTATTGCTGTCTTTACTTCTGCATGGCTGCTGGCAGCTGCATTGCATTCAGAGCTGGACAGCTAAAGAAGTGGCTTCTGGCCAGGAAGAATCTCTGAAATAGGGATGTTAAATACCAGTTAATTAGCTGATCAAGTAGTCAATGCAATTTCCTTCGACTACTTTAGTAGTCAATAAGGAGAAGTGTTCGCTACCGCCACTGTAGTGCTGCATCTTAAATGTAGTAAGAGCCACTTGTAGTAAGGTCTCTTATTATATGTAAAGTGCAAAGCCACAGCAGAGTTAGTCCCGGCTTGTGCCACTCCCAGGAACTGAGTAGTCCCAGTTTGTGCCGGCCGTAGGAGTGCTACGGCTTTGCCTTGCCTTGCCTGCCCCTGTCCCCTGCACTGTGGAGATGGTGCTAGGTGGAGCCGGCTATTAAGCCGGTTCCCCCCCAGCACCAGCTCCTGCTCTCCTCCACCCCTTGCTGCATCTGCGGGGTGGGAGGTAGGAGTGAGTAGTCAATCAACTAGTCGCTTACATCCCTACTCTGAAGGCCAAATTAGTTCCAGCTGCAGTACAGAAGTAAGGGCAACATGGACATAGTATTGCTATCCTTACTTCTACACTACTGTTGACAGGGTGCTGCCATCAGAACTGGCCAAATGGCCAGTATTACAGCCATTGCTCTCCAGTTGCCCACCTCTGAAGGTGGTGCAGAAGCAAGAGGGGCAATACTGTGAGCCTCCTAAAATGGCCTTGTGACTTCCCCCATCCCACCCCTGCAACTCCCTTCTCGATCAGCACCTCCAGTTTGAGAAATGCTGGACTCCGCCATGAAATCTGCATAGTATAGGGTAAAAGCACTCAAAGGCCAGATTTCATGGGAAGATGACCGATTTCGTGGTCTTGTGACATGTTTGGCATGGCTGTAAATTTGGTAGGGCCCTATCAACAAGACATGAGAGAGTACTTATTACTAAGGAGGGTGAGGAGAATGTACTTTTTACACTCTTCTGTGTGCGTGGTACGAATTGAAAAGACAAATGACTTCAGGCACCCAAGAAATTATCATTTCCTCAAATGATAAAAGGTACACTGCATATTAATTCTTTACCTTGTTACTATCTCATAAGTGATTAAAACCAGATATTTTAAAAATCAAATTGGCTTATTTATGCAGTAATTCTCTTTATTATACTTCATTCACCTTTGTCAGTTAAATTAAGTCCCAGGTAGTGGCAATATGCTAGTATGATTGGGTTTCCAGCACTTCAAAGGAATGTTTAGGTTCTCCTCCTCCAAAAAGAATCACTTTGTTTTCACTAACTTAAAACATTTTGTTGTTGAAATAAATACACAAGGACTACTGGCGATTAAGTTGGTATGGTTTTACAGCTCATTTAATGAAGTAAATAGAAGCACTACCTAGGTCCAAGTAAACTCTTAGATAGAAATTAGGGTTAAGGCCCAGTTTACACCTAAAATTTAGGTCAGCATACCTATGTTGCCTAGTGGAGGTGAAAAATTCACTCTTGGAAGATGTTGTTAAGCCAACCTAAGCCCAGGTATAGATACTAAGTTGGCAGAAGAATTCCATTAACCTAGCTACTGCCTTTTGAGAGGGTGGATTTGCTACAGTGACAGAAAAAAAACTTTGTTACTATACCAAGTGTCTATGATGCATTGCTGCTACAGCACTTGTAGAGCAGATATATTATTGTAAGAGGGTATTTAAAGAGAAGTTAGTGAGACACAAAAAACAAATAGCAGGAAAGTCTTTAAATAGATCAGAAGAAGTAAACTTCTGAGGAGATCCCAATAAAACATTTACCTCTCAATGCATGAGTGGAGAATCCACCACAAAGGCTATTAGTCATCTCACAGCATGGCTTACTTCCTGACTGCTGACTTCTCCAGTCTCAATCTGGAATTGTTTCCAAGTACTTTGGACTCCTTCAGTAATGAAGCTGGAGGGTCCCACAACTTGACTTCAAGATTCTGGTCCTCTTCCCTTTTCTCAGATCCAGACAGTATGCACCAAGTTCATGCCTAAGGGAGACCCTTACGATAGCTGCTTAAAGTGTTTGGGTGAGGGCCACTTAGCAGATGCCTGTAAGATCTGTGCAGGTCGTTCAAGCCGTGCACGAAGAGGGAGTGAGACTTGCACTTGAAGTTTCTCCTCATGGAGGCGGCTGTACAACCGGCACTGACTGGCCACTCCATGGTGCGCAGTGCGCTGGCGTCGACACAGGACGTCCATTTCCTCAAATGATAAAAGGTACACTGCATATTAATTCTTTACCTTGTTACTATCTCATAAGTGATTAAAACCAGATATTTTAAAAATCAAATTGGCTTATTTATGCAGTAATTCTCTTTATTATACTTCATTCACCTTTGTCAGTTAAATTAAGTCCCAGGTAGTGGCAATATGCTAGTATGATTGGGTTTCCAGCACTTCAAAGGAATGTTTAGGTTCTCCTCCTCCAAAAAGAATCACTTTGTTTTCACTAACTTAAAACATTTTGTTGTTGAAATAAATACACAAGGACTACTGGCGATTAAGTTGGTATGGTTTTACAGCTCATTTAATGAAGTAAATAGAAGCACTACCTAGGTCCAAGTAAACTCTTAGATAGAAATTAGGGTTAAGGCCCAGTTTACACCTAAAATTTAGGTCAGCATACCTATGTTGCCTAGTGGAGGTGAAAAATTCACTCTTGGAAGATGTTGTTAAGCCAACCTAAGCCCAGGTATAGATACTAAGTTGGCAGAAGAATTCCATTAACCTAGCTACTGCCTTTTGAGAGGGTGGATTTGCTACAGTGACAGAAAAAAAACTTTGTTACTATACCAAGTGTCTATGATGCATTGCTGCTACAGCACTTGTAGAGCAGATATATTATTGTAAGAGGGTATTTAAAGAGAAGTTAGTGAGACACAAAAAACAAATAGCAGGAAAGTCTTTAAATAGATCAGAAGAAGTAAACTTCTGAGGAGATCCCAATAAAACATTTACCTCTCAATGCATGAGTGGAGAATCCACCACAAAGGCTATTAGTCATCTCACAGCATGGCTTACTTCCTGACTGCTGACTTCTCCAGTCTCAATCTGGAATTGTTTCCAAGTACTTTGGACTCCTTCAGTAATGAAGCTGGAGGGTCCCACAACTTGACTTCAAGATTCTGGTCCTCTTCCCTTTTCTCAGATCCAGACAGTATGCACCAAGTTCATGCCTAAGGGAGACCCTTACGATAGCTGCTTAAAGTGTTTGGGTGAGGGCCACTTAGCAGATGCCTGTAAGATCTGTGCAGGTCGTTCAAGCCGTGCACGAAGAGGGAGTGAGACTTGCACTTGAAGTTTCTCCTCATGGAGGCGGCTGTACAACCGGCACTGACTGGCCACTCCATGGTGCGCAGTGCGCTGGCGTCGACACAGGACATCCCATCCCATGCGCAGACTTCGGTACTGAGGGCTCAGCACTGTTCTCACTCCCCGGCACCAAGGAAACTGAAGGCTTCGTGGGGTAGGTCTCTGAGCTGGAAGTCCAGGTCGGGCCTTCACTGTCACTGTGTCGCTGGTGCATACGTCTCCAAGTTGGTCGGCACTTGTTAGGTATGCAGCGGGACCGTCCCCTGTGGGACCAGTACCACTTGCCTCTACGTCGTTGCCAGACTCGCCACAGGCTGCCAGGCCTCACCCAGCATTCTGCTGGACTCAATCTGCCTCGGTGCTGGGACCTCGCCCAGAACCGGTCTTAGCTGCGTCGGTGCCATATTACTCAGGTCTTGTGGCACCGTCAATGGCACCGTCAGCAGTACCCGCACCGGGCCCCTTTCCCGGGGTGCAGGTACAGTCATTGGCACTGCTGCAAGTTTCAGCACTGATTCTAGTACTGGCATCGGCCCCGTAGGCCATGTCAGTACCACCATTGCCAGCGACGCCGATCCTTTCTAGGGTGGCCACCACGGCTCCGACGCCTTCAGTTCTACCCACCATGGCGCCCACGGCAGCACCGATAGGGGCGCCACCTCTGGGGCAGTTGGACTATGCAGTTCCGCGCCCGCAACCAGCACCGACCTCAGCACCACAGTCCATGTGCACTGTGTCAGTACCACAGTCGGGCCCAAAACCTGACTTTTCGGTACCGGTACGACCTCACTGCACGCACGCAGGCAAGCCAGAATCCATGGCCAGGTTCGCCCCCCCGATGGTGACGGGGTACTCGTCATTGGCGCCACCCTGGCCCGAGTTTGATTACTCTTCAGATTTGGACATGGGCTCTTTTAGATCGGGGTCCTCGATGGCTTCGTCTCAGCATAGATCCCATTCCCGGCACTGGCGTGATCGTTTGCACGTGCAACAGACTTGGCTGCCAAGTGCCCCCAGTGCGTGGAGCCTATAACGCTCCCCCCAGATCAGGATCTCCTGACCCAGCCCTGGGACAGGGGACAGCTGGTTCACCTGAATCTCAGCTCTCTCCACCTGACAGCCTGGTTTATCCGTGGCTGATGCAACCAGAAAGGGAATGCTCCCAGGAGGTGCAGATGGTGCTCCTAGGTAGCAGGAAGCCATCCACCAGACGGTCCTACGCAGCCAAGTGGTGGCGGTTCTTGTCTTGGGCTTCCAAAAGGGGGGGTGCACCCATCCTGTGCACCTGTCCCATCCATTCTGGACTACCTTTTCGAACTCCGGTCCAGTGGTCTCTCTACCTCTTCTATCAAAGTCCATGTGGCCTCACTCTCCACCTTCCTGCCGAACCTACATGGAGTCTCTCTGTTCTCTGACCCTGTGGTCAAAGAGTTCCTTAAGGGTTTGGATA